TCGGTGTTTTCAGCAATGTTTCCCTTTTTTCTTGACTGGCTGTCTCCACCTGCATCTCTACATTTATTTGCCCGAATGACCGTATCCATGTGATCATGGGATGTGCCACAAGATAAGCTGAGGAAGTGGGCGAGGTCTTGCTATATCAGCACCAAAATGCCCCATCTGTCCAAGGTTTTTGTACCCATCGAAGCTATGACCTCATTATTGATTTCGCTATTGTATAGAGATACAACAACGAGCACTTCTTGGATTTCTAATCAAAGTCGTGTGCATGGCGCACCCTGAAAGTTCAAGGAAAAGCAAATTTTTACATGTTACTTTTAATCCGCCTTGCTGAGTTCAATAACGCTCCAATTTCAGTACTACAAAGAATTAGAAGAACTGGCCGAGGTATACGAACACGACAACCGAATTATTGAAGGCGATGAAGATTCAATCGAAGTGCGTTTGTCATTTCAGTGAATATCAGAGGATTATTTCCTATTTCATTTACGTGATCGATTACAGCGTGAACACGAACCAGATCGATTTCTTGCAAGAATTTCACTGACACTGAATGTGTTGCTCCTTTTTGTTAATCTATTTGCATCTGTGGTGACCGGATCGTTATCAATTGTGAGGTGAGCGATTGCCACGTGCAGGTTCTCCCCAGTAACGCTGTGAATTAGCAGCTCGCTGCGCGATAAAGAACGGTGCGAAGGATTGTACGGACGAAAAAGGAAAAACTGACCTGGAGAGTGAGGCGAACCTCCTAAGGGCGCGGACCGACACGCAATTCGCATCGAAGGATATGCCCCCGCGATCTAGCATGGCCTTCCCCGCGGCGCAATTGGCGCGCTATTGGCGCGGTACGCCCCTTCGCGTCGTCTCTGTCTGAGTCTCTAGCCGTTCAGCAGAGAGCGTTAGCGTTGAAGAGGGCAGCACCGATGAGAGTCGCATCAATGCGCAAATCAACGGGCAAGGAAGGGGTCCCATTTCTCGGGTTCTAGGCCGTTTTTCTCGATTTTTTCTTCTTTCGTGCATCGCTGACCATCTCTAACATTAATTTCCGATGGGTTGCCCTTTCATCGTAAACCCTTCAAATTCTGAGGAAGTTGAAAAAATTACGGTAGTAGGCACTGTGCAGTAAATTACTCGGATTTTCTTTCAAGGAATGCTTAGAAGTTGAAACAATCAAGGTGTTATATTCGGAGATTCCCTTTAGATAGGCAACCAGCAATTCGGCATCGGAGCATGTTTTTTACTCAAAACACTTAAGTGCCTGATGGCGAGGCCCGTAAAGTGCATATGCTTAAAGGAATCTTGCGCGGAAAATTCTTGCACTCTTTCCTAACATGAATATGTCAGTTGTGATCACTGGAAATAGCACACAAAGTTTCACGCATGAAGATTCGGTTTCTGAAGAGAAACAAACGTACAAAAACTACACGTTATGGACCATCGAAGGACCAGGAGGCAGAGCCAGGCGAGGCATGGAAAGAAGACGGCGTTTGGCCGGCTACGTACCAGGCGACGCAATGAGAGAATCGGGTTAAAGCGCGCGATTTCGGAGAGTGGAGACAAATCGATCGATGGAATAGGATGGAGTAGAAGTGTAAGATGTGAATGCAACGAAGCAGAAGGCCAGAAAGAGCTTCTAGTGAATGCACTCCAAGAACCAAGTTTGAGCATCCCCGTCGCCAGCATTCGTGAAAGACGTCCGTGGGCAATTCGAACGCGTAGCAGCCTTTTCGAGTTTTCGAATTTCTAATCAAAACGAAAGCAATACTTCAGTTCTTTTCACTATTATCGTGGATAATGAGTCTCAAGCCAGTGATTTATGGCTGAAATAGAATCATGATTTTTCCGCGCAAGATTCCTTTAAAGGATTCATGTTTTCGCACATTACCAAAAGGGACTATATACGTCTTTCGGTGAGCCTGACAGGGATGAGCCAAGCGTTATGCCTACGGTTGGCATTGAAGTCATAACGAATTTTAGAGAAACATTTTTGCTAATACAGGCCAGGGCAGGTCTTGCACTACACAGGTGTTCTATCTGACAGATCTGGTGCTGAATAATTGACCCAGGAGCAATAGTCCATGATGGCTTTTTCTTCTTAATTGGTAGGGTCATGCGTCCTTTGCTCAAAAATTGGCAAGGCACCCATTTCAAGAGAGCCTACGTACAACTCCGCACCATCACCAAGTCTTGGTCGTGGTGAAGAGAATTTGGTTCTCAGACCAAACGACACACCTACTCTCACTCCACCCTTCTTTCTCCTGCAAAATTGAAACGGGTGTCGAGGGGTGGGAGCGGAGAAGGCTAGAGCGGGAGGGTATAGTATGCCCAGAGAGACGGTAAACGCTGTAGCCTATTTTACGCTACTTTTTAGCTTTCGCCGCCAGTTTTTGCTGAAGAACCCTCATCGTCTTCCCTCCCACTCCTTTGCAACGGCACCCGCATCACCATCATAAACACTTAAGACCACAATGTGTCCATCCGTTGGTAACTGCTCAGCGAGTGGTTCACCCTGCTTGGTAGGCTCCGGAGAGATACGATCCATGAGTTGGCCTGTAACTTGCCTCTACTCCACGTTTGCCGAATTGACGAAATTTTTATCCTGTTCAGCACATTTGTGGACTCATTCATGGACATCAGTACAGGACTTATATTAGGGTTATGTCTGTGGCTGATCAAGAATACGAACACTCAGAAATATCCACGAGGTAGAGAAAGGTGAGAAATTTTTATAAAAACTCAAAAAATAACTATTCAAGCCCGTTGACGTCCTTACACGATCCATCGGGTCACTTTTACCCGAGGCGGCCCCATCAATCAGTAACATGATAGCTACGTAAAGTAATTATACCTACCGTTCAGGCTCGAACTGCTAGGAGTGATTTTATGTTCGATCATCATGGATCGCAAATATGTTTCTCATGCTGCAATTCACTATGCGCAATCATGCACAGAAAGTGCATTTTGAAATCCAGTGGGAACTGGCGCACTTACTTGTCAAGCTCTGCGCAGTCATAAACGCTGCTCGCAACGTCGCACTATTTAAGTAGGGGAATAGTGGATGCGGTTGGTGTTGAGCGGAATCTTTGGTATCTGCAGAAGTACTACTCTCCTGAGTATTTCGTCCTTTGAATTCCAAAACAAAAGTGCTGCGGGCAGAACTTCTCCTTACAGATCCCTGTTTGGCAATAGATCCCTGTTTGGAGGTCGGTACACTTATGAAGTGCGCTACAGAACTCTGACTATTGCTAACTTTTTGGCTGTGAATAACATCAAATATCATTTCAGGTAGCCCCGGAAGTGAACATATACATAATAGTGATAATGTTATTTGGATCACTTCTAAAGACACTTTTCATGGTGGTGTGTTATAAAAGAGGATCGGCTTCGTCGAAGGTCTGTTGAAAATTCGTATTTATCATTTGATGAGTCCATTGAAAGAATTGAAGGCCTGTTTGAGCACTTCACATTCCAGTTTCACTCAGAGTGTCGTAGGATCACTTGCGTAGAGTAGCATTTTACGGTAAGGTCGAAGGTCGGATGGGAAACACCTAGCGTAAAGACAGGTGAACACCTAAGGCCGATGTCAGACTTTGCGAATCGCGCGATTCGCTAGCGTCTGCGGTCGCGTCGCGGCCAGTGAATCACTCAATTGGCTGGTACCGCAACGCGACCGCGGACGCTAGCGAATCGCGCGATTCGCAAAGTCTGACATCGGCCTAAGGGTGTCGACTGACACATAATCCCGGAGAGCAAGTGAGCCCGGCGACCTAGCATGGTCCTCCCTGGGGCGCCATGGCGCGGTACGCCCACCGATTGGCTATACACTTATCCGTAGGTCTCCAGCCGTTCAGCAGAGAGAGCGTTAGCGTTGAAGAGGGCAGCACCGATGAGAGTCGCATCAGTGCGGAAATCAACGGGCAAGGAAGGGGTCCATTTCTCGGGTTCTGGCCGTTTCTCATGGTTTTTTCTTCATTCCGCACCACTGACCACCTCTACCGTATTCGAATGGACTGCGTTTAATCATGAATCCCGCCTTCAATGTGGGGGAAGTTGGAAGTACCAACGACCTCTTTACTCCTTCCTGGGGCTCCTGGGTAAGAAGAGCAAAAGGCTGCCTCGAACAGCGTTCAGCCTAGAAATTCACAAGGTGTGGAACAAATATGTACTCATTCAAACGCTCCAACGATTGCAAGCGGAAATAGAGGGCATGGCTGCAATCTTTGGGAATTTACCCACACTAAGCACAGCGTCAATTTGTCCTGTTTATCAGGAACTACATTATAGTATATTCGAAGACATTAATTTAGGTGCTTGCAATGGACATGCGAAATGACGTCATTACCTCACTGGTGGCCATCAGTTGTGCCACAATAGGCTATTATTACTGGCCTTATGCGGACCCTGTCGGTGCCATCGTTGTTTGGTAAGCGATTTTCTGACAATATCCAACTGAAGATTTTCCGTACTCAATTGTAATTGAAAGTGGTAACTTGTCTTAGAACACTTTATGGAACAAAGTTTTAGCGGACTCATCGCGATTTCATGGTTCCAAAATGCACTGGAATATGTGCCGATACTCGTTGGTGTTCGTGGTGAAAGAGATCATCTGAGCCGAATCATCAAAATCGTCATTGAACACGACGATCGAATACGGTAAGCACATTGCCCCTGATTTTTCTCGGGGTTTTGGACGAAATTGGAGTTGTTCGTGAGCGCAGATCGAC